TTCCCACCATTAGGGAAGGGTGTCTTTCCCCTGCAAATTCTCACCCTCATTTGTTTTTATATCCTTGAAAAAAGCCATTCTGATTGGGGTGAGATTGAATCTCAATGTAGTTTTTAATTTTATTTTCATTAGTGTATGTTTGCAGTCTAGAATGATTATATTTATCAAAAGGAGTTGGTACATGTCTTCTTTTAAAAAAATGTATTTATTTGATATAGGGGCTCGCTAGTGATCCTCCTGTCTCAGCCTCCCCAGCACTGGGATTACAGGCATGATCGCCATGTCGCTTTGGGGCTGGCATGGTGTGCCTGGGGTTCTGGGGCTGGCACAGTATGCAAAACTGGGAATTGAACCCGGGGTTTTGCACTTGCAAGGCAGGTGCTTAGACAGCTATCTCCCGGCCCTACATCTTAATTCGTGTTAAGGCCCCTTTCCCCATCTTTCTTTCACCCATCAATCTCTTAGAGGTCTTCTCATTTGCAAAAGATCTCCCTGTTTCCTATTATCTTTTATTTTGCACTTTTTTTTTTTTTTCCGGCAGAAGCAGGGATTGAACTCAACCCTTGTGCTTGCAAGGCAAGCACTTATTCTACCAAGCTATCTCCTCAACCCCTATTTTGTACTTTATACTGATTTTCTTTCATAATAGAAACTATACAATATTTAAGCTTGTATGTAATTTATTTGACTTACCATTATGGTCTCAAGGTGCACCTATTTTCCTACAAATGACTCAAGTTTATTCTTCTGTATAACAGAGTAGGATTCCATCATGTATAAATATCATGTTTTCTTTATCCAGTCTTCTGCTGATGGACCTACAGGCTGCTTCCAAGATTCAATATAGTTCTTTTTTTTTTAAACATTTATTTATTGTGTGTGTGTGTGTGTGTGTGTGTGTGTGTGTGTGTGGCCAGCTCAGCCCACCAGGGGGCGCGGCTGGCTGGCATGTGGTGCTGGGGGATCAAACCACGGTCCCTGGGCTTTTCCAAGCTTGTTCCAAATAGGTGCTTTAGACCACTGAGCCATCTCTCCAGCCCCTTCAATATAGTTCTGATTTGCATTTCTTTAATGGCTACAGATGTTGAACATTTTTCATACCCTACTGGTCATTCGCTATTCTCTGAGAAGCGCCTGTTCAATTTATCTGCTTGTGTATTGATTGGGCTGTTTTTGGCAGATGCCATCTTTTCTTGTCTGCCCACTCTAACAGTGTTCCTGCTTCTCCTGCCTCTCTGCGACACAAGGATCTCCCGCCCCCTTCATGGCAACATCATGATTTCAAAAAAAAATCTGAGACCACCTTGTGCTCCTGCTTAAACTAAAAATTCTAATGTTACTGCCCAGAGAACACTATGATCCTATGATTATCTATTCCAGCCTTCTTCTAATCTTACAACACTCTTCTTAAAACAAAGATAAGTTTTTGTTTAAACTTTCTTAACAATCAAATAGCAGCTTTTTTGTTTGTTTTGTACCAGGAATCCAACTTGGGACCTTGTGCTTGCCAGGCAGGTACTGTGCTGCTGAGCTATATTCTGGCCCAGCATTTTAAATGTACATATCTTTCCAGTATATGTTTTGGTAAAATTTTATGTAACTACTTCCTGATGATTGGACATTTGTTTCTAGGATGTTTCTTCTTTATTAAAAATGAAGCTGTGGCCAGGTGTGGTGGTGCAGGTGT